GGGTGTTATAATGTCACGGTCAATCCCACTATTCGTTGGTAAAAGAGTAGCCCGAGAGTTGGCGGTGGGTGGTGATGACTAGCTGCCTTCCCTGTAGCCTTACACTGCTAAATTAGAGACGGCTAGCGCAGAGCCCTCGTGTAGCTTTGCGCGAAATTCAAAACAAACAAACAAACTATCACAATAATAATAGGTACAAAACAGTGGCGTTTGTGACATATTATTCAGCACTATAGGCGATGTCTGCAACTTAAGATATTTTGGTGATTTAAAAGCAGCCTCAAGCTAATCGTGTAGAAACATTTTGTGACTTGCATGTGAACAGTACGACTTGGATTTTCCAAGAAACCCAAGAGAATACTCCAAAGATCGATTAATTCAGTCAAAATGGAGATATGTATTAATATCTAAAAGACATCACTGGGGTAAACTTTAATTATATGTCGAGTAATAAATCATGAATGCAAGCTAATCAATGTACGATAAACGAGATTATACTCATTTTTCAGCATTTTAGTTTGATACATTATTCTTGTTCATAACCTCAGATTAAGTATGTATGTTTAATTATTTTCTTGGATTTTAATTTTAACCATTGCATTTAAAACATATAGATAACACTGAAGCTTCTTTTCTTTTCTAAGTTCCGGCTACAACGTTTAATTTCAATTTTACAAAATGTTCTGACTCGGAAGTAAGTTTCCTTTGCAACGCCAGAGGGTTATATCCTCGTCCTCGGATATCTCTGAGCATTCAGCCATTGGACAACAAGGAACAGAAAACCTACAAGAAAATTCATAGTCGAGTGAACAAAAGTGGCGCCACCTACGATGCTTCAATAACTGGAAAATTATTTACTGCTGGTTTGGCTGGACATCAGCCTCCTCTACTTGAGTGCAAAGTTGAAATACCTGGAACTCATTACAAAATATCCAAACAGATTAGTTATTTTCCAAGTGAGTAATGAAACTAGAAATCGTGCCTTAAGTTATTTTGTTACTTTATTCTATATAAATGCACTTGCTACCCAAATACACATACCTATGTAATTTGTCACTGCTCATTACATACGTTTGTTGGTCTGTATCTAAATGTTTTAGATGGGAAAAATGCTACTTTTAATACAAAAATCCATAAAATGTTTAAATAATAAAGCTCCACTGAGCAATATATTAATATATATATATTATATATATACTTATGTCTAAAAGAAATAGATTAATAGATACAGAGATATATTGGTATAGAGTATTTTTTACGTAGCTTACAGAAATCTATATTTTATTTTTAGGGGTAAGCTTAGCTTAATCTAAATAGCCCCCCCCCCCAGTGGCACAGCGGTATG